AAAACAACAAAAAAAGCAGTTCAGAATGAAAAAAAAAAAACCAAAAAAACAAAAAACTAAACCCAGGCAATAGTTACTTAATCTAAAGTGAAATTGTGTACACATGTAATCTAATTTGCCTGTTGGGAATTTTATGCAGCATATTGTGCTAAAAATATGAAACAGTTAACCCTTTCAGCCAGTACTGAAAATAAACATGTAGAAACTAAACAACAAGTTAAAAATACAGTAATGCATAACTCAACAATTTTAAGTTTTCCACATGCAGCAATAAAGCAGACAACTGAATAATTTAAGGAGATGCAAATGGGCCCTCTTCATTCATAATTCTCAGCAATCTACTCAGGAAAATAAATTTCTGGTCACAGCGAACAATTCATTCCAATCTCACCTTGATTGAAATGTTCATTATCTGTGCTTGTCGGAGGACTTATGATGCTTCTTCTCTTCCTTTCCTCCTGAACTGCCCCATTTCTCTTTCCTTCGTATCTTTTATCAAGCCTGGACCCCTTTTTGCCACCGGAGGAGATCTTATCCATCTGCTCAGATTTAAATGAATCACCACTTTTTTCTTTGCCTCAAGATTTTTTTTCCTTGTCTTTCTCATTTGGATAAGGAGACTCAGATGGACTTCCATTTTTGTGTTTTGAATCCCCCATTGTGCCATTTTCCTCTTTATGCCTGTTGGTCAAGTCCAGTGGTGCTTCGTGGTCATTGTTTGAGTGATCCTCTTCCTGCTCTTTCTTATCCTTTTCATCTTTTTTTCTCTCTTTCTCTGGATCTCCCCCTCGACTTGTCCAAATCTTTCTTGTCCATTTCTCTCTCCTTACTCCTGGACACTGGTGGAGTATGATTAACGTAGAGCTTTGCTGACAGCTCCTTGAGTTGGATGAGACTGTCCTGTGCTGCACTTAATTAATTCGCCTCCCTGTGATTACTCCCAATTCCTTATCCCCTCTCTCAACCATTATTTTACACACCAGGAAGAATGGAAAAATACTTCCAATTAAACTATGACACAATGTTTTCTAACTACTTAGGGTATATATTTTATACTTATTGAAAAAGCTTTTAGGTTTGGACATATTTCTACCAGATATGATGCTCATTCACTTAGAATAATATAAGCAAAATAAATTGATCTAGTGATTCTTAAAACTTCTTCACATCCTCATTCTTTTGAATAACATCCTAACTGAATGAATTATGTCCACACTTTTCCATGCAATTCTGTCCTTTGTACCATCAGGCATGTTGGTGATATGGCATTTTAAAAACCGATTCATAAAAAAAACTAAAACCCATTGGTCTGTGCTATTAAGCAAGATTTCAAATTATGTAGAACTGGCTTATTTTTAAATGCCTCTTGAACTTTCCA